ATACATTTCTTTTTCTTTGAACGCACCAGCCGTATCCCACCAAGGTGATCGAAAAGGAAAAATAAAAGTTTCTCCTTTTGCATTCAGTAATATATACAGGAAAAGGTGTTACTAGCCCCTTGTTCCTGGCATTTTAGTCGCTTCTTAAGACACACATGGCTAACAGAGGAAGAATTCTGTTCCACTTCCTCATGAAGACTTCCATACATTTATTAACCCTTAAACTGTCCAAAGGTAGATCTATGTCCACGTGCAGGGGGCTCCGAATGTAGATCTATGCTTCTTTTTTTTTTACATGCTTTCAAATGGGGAAAATCAAGGTCGGAGCGCTACGCACATGAACGTAGATCTACGTTTGGACATCATTAATATAAGCACCAACCATTCCAAAACTACATTCCCACCCGATTTTAACATTACAGTCTTTATCCCATCAATTCCAGCTGCTTTACTCCCTTTCATTCTACCCACTGTCTCACACACCTTCCCCCACTGGCTCTTCCTACCTCACTCCTAGATGTTATACCTCCCTGACCAATACACGAAATCACAGCTTCCTTATCTTTATCAACATTTATGTAATGCACTTCGGGCCACCCTGCAACCTCCCTCCAACCTCCAATCAGAGATGAGCACTTAATAGGGCAACGTTCAATGCTGTCTCCCATAACACAAAACATTCTATTACAACCCCCCCCTCTTCCCTCTCATTTAGGCAACCACCACTGTCTCTCGGCAGTATACATTTCCCTGCCACTCAGTCTCCCAGCTTTACACGAGCATATAAGCCTGTCACATCGCAACAATATCTCAATCACAACAAACCACACCCAAGCATGCTTACTGCATACATGCGTACAATACCTCTAAACAATAATATATACCTCAACCCTCTTACAAAGGTGTAATGGTAAGTGACCAAGCACAGCAAGGCGTTATATACACAGAGGGTAATACAGTCATCATCCCATGGGACACACATGCAAAAATATAAACCTAAATTCCCCACTATCAAACTGGATCACACACTTAATCCAGCTAGCATCAAACGTACCTCCTAACACCTACTAACCACACTGAACCTTGCCTCGTTTGCATCTGAGCCATACACCCACACCCACCCACACACAACACACACACACACACACACACACACACACACACACACACAACACACACACACACACACACACAACACACACACACACACACACACACTCCCAACGGCGAGCCCATTGATACCCGGATGACATTCTCAATCCTTGCCCCAGCCATTACAACCCCCCCAACCTTACCCCGCCTTCCTTCCCCTACAGATTTATACGCTCTCCATGTCATTCTACTTAGATCCATTCTCTCTAAATGACCACACCACCTCAACCCCTCTTCTGCCCTCTGACTAATACTTTTATTAACTTTACACCTCCTAATTTCCACATTCCGAATTTTCTGCATAATATTTACACCACACATTGCCCTTAGACAGGACATCTCCACTGCCTCCAACCGCCTCCTTGCTGCTGCATTCACAACCCAAGCTTCACATCCATATAAGAGTGTTGGTACTACTATACTTTCAAACATTCCCTTCTTTGCCTCCATAGATAACGTTTTTTGTCTCCAAATATACCTCAACGCACCACTCACCTTTTTTCCCTCATCAATTCTATGATTAACCTCATCCTTCATAAATCCATCCGCCGACACATCAATTCCCAAGTATCTGAAAACATTCACTTCTTCCATACTCCTCCTCCCCAATTTGATATCCAATTTTTCTTTATTTAAATCATTTAATGCCCTCATCACCTTACTCTTTTCTATGTTCACTTTCAACTTTCTACCTTTACACACACTCCCAAACTCGTCTACTAACCTTTGCAATTTTTCTTTAGAATCTCCCATGAGCACAGTATCATCAGCAAAAAGCAACTGTGTCAATTCCCATTTTGTATTTGATTTCCCATAATTTAATCCCACCCCTCTCCCGAACACCCTAGCATTTACTTCTTTTACAACCCCATCTATAAATATATTAAACAACCATGGTGACATTACACATCCCTGTCTAAAACCTACTTTTACTGGGAAGTAGTCTCTCTCTCTTCTACACACCCTAAACTAAGCCTCCCTATCCTCATAAAAACTCTTTACAGCATTTAATAACTTACCATCTATTCCATATACTTGCAACAACAGCCACATTGCTCCCCTATCCACTATCGTATGCCTTTTCTAAATTTGTAAATGCAATAAAAACTTCCCTACCTTTATCTAAATACTGTTCACATATATGCCACAATGTAAACACTTGATCTACACATCCCCTACCCACTCTGAAACCTCCTTGCTCATCCGCAATCCTACGTTCTGTCTTACCTCTAATTCTTTCAATTATAACCCTACTATACACTTTTCCTGGTGTACTCAGTAAACTTATTCCTCTATAATTTTTACAATCTTTTTTCCCCCCCTTCCCTTTATATAAAGGGACTATACATGCTCTCTGCCAATCCCTAGGTACCTTCCCCTCTTTCGTACATTTATTAAACAAAAGTACCAACCACTCCAACGCAATATCCCCCTCTGCTTTTAACATTTCTGTCATGATCCCATCAGTTCCAGCTGCTTTACCCCCTTTCATTCTACGTAATGCCTCACACACCTCCCCCACACTCTCATCCTCCTCTTCTTCACTCCTAAAAGATGGTATACCTCCCTGGCCAGTGCATGAAATTACCGCTTCCCTTTCTTCGTTGACATTTAAAAGTTCCTCCAAATATTCTCGCCATCTACCCAAAACATGCATCTCCCCATCTACTAACTCTCCTACTCTGTTTTTAACTGACAAATCCATTCGTTCTCTAGGCTTTCTTAACCTGTTTAACTCTCTCCAAAATTTTTTTTTCTTATTTTCATTAAAATTTCTTGACAGTGCCTCTCCCACTATCATCCGCTCTCCTTCTGCACTCTATCACCACTCTCTTCACCTTTCTTTTACTCTCCATATACTCTGCTCTTCTTATAACACTTCTGCTTTGTAAAAACCTCTCATAAGCTAACTTTTTCTCTTTTATCACACCCTTTACTTCTTCATTCCACCAATCACTCCTCATTCCTCCTGCACCCACTCTCCTATAACCACAAACTTCTGCCCCACATTCTAATACTGCATTTTTAAAACTATTCCAACCCTCTTCAACCCCCCACTACTCATACTTGCACCAGTCCACCTTTCTGCCAATAGTTGCTTATATCTCACCCGAACTTCCTCCTCCCTTAGTTTATACACTTTCACCTCCCTCTTGCTTGTTGTTGCCATTTTCCTCTTTTCCCATCTACCTCTTACTCTAACTGTAGCTACAACTAAATAATGATCCGAAATATCAGTTGCCCCTCTATAAATGTGTACATCCTGGAGCCTGCCCATCAACCTTTTATCCACCAATACATAATCTAACAAACTAATTTCATTACGTGCTACATCATACCCTGTATATTTATTTATACTCTTCTTCATAAAATATGTATTACTTATTACCAAACCTCTTTCTACACATAGCTCAATTAAAGGCTCCCCATTTTCATTTACCCCTGGCACCCCAAATTTACCTACTACTCCCTCTACAACATTTTTACCCACTTTAGCATTGAAATCCCCAACCACCATTACTCTCACACTTGGTTCAAAACTCCCCACGCATTCACTCAACATTTCCCAAAATCTCTCTCTCTCCTCTACACTTCTCTCCTCCAGGTGCATATACGCTTACTATAACCCACTTTTCACATCCAACCTTTATTTTACTCCACATAATCCTTGAATTAATACATTTATAGTCCCTCTTTTCCTGCCATAACTTATCCTTCAACATTATTGCTACTCCTTCTTTAGCTCTAACTCTATTTGAAACCCCTGACCTAATCCCATTTATTCCTCTCCACTGAAACTCTCCCACCCCTTTCAGCTTTGTTTCACTTTAAACCAGGACATCCAGCTTCTCATTCATAACATCCACAATCATCTCTTTCTTATCATTTGCACAACATCCACGCACATTCAGACTTCCCACTTTGACAATTTTCTTCTTATTCTTTTTAGTAATTTCTTACAGGAAAAGGGGTTACTAGCCCATTGTTCCCGGCATTTTAGCTACTTTTACAACACGCATGGCTTACGGAGGAAAGATTCTTTTTCCACTTCCCCATGGATATAAAAGGAAAGGTAATAAGACCAAGAACTATTAAGAATAAAATCAAAGAAAACTCAGATGAGTGTGTATAAATAAACGTGTACATGTATGTGTAGTGTGACCTAAGTGTAAGTAGAAGTAGCAAGACATACCTGTAATCTTGCATATTTATGAGACAGACAAAAGACACCAGCAATCCTACCATCATGTAAAACAATTACAGGCTTTTGTTTTACATTCACTTGGCAGGACGGTAGTACCCTCCTGGGTGGTTGCTGTCTACCAACCTACTACCAATTAAAACACGTATTTGGGACTATTTTAGTTCAGGGCTGATCTCAAGTGACTATAAAGCTCAACTCTGAATAAAACATTCAATATAAGCTTGGTCTGCCTAGTATTTATATCAAAGCTATATTATACTTCAAGTTTTCCATTATACACGAAAAAAAAAAAATGCCCAGTGAGGTCAAAATGTTGGGGATAATGTCTACCACAAACCACAATTCAATGGTTAATTGTTATTCCATTCATGGGGAAAGTTAAATCCATGGGGGTTATATAGGAAATGAGAGGCATCAGATTCAAAATAAAGAGAATAGTTACAATTCTTTGGATCAAGACCTTTCACCTGAATGAAGATACTTCCCTTGAAGAGTTTAGCTGATAATACATATGTAAATGAAATACTATTATTTTTAATTAAAGTAATCATGATTCTCTAATTTTGTAATGCAGTATTCTACACCTCTTCTGGTCTAACATCTAATTAAAGTAATTGCTGTTATAAATCCAAATTAGTCTCACTTTGCGGTAGTCGACGTCACCATTGGAGATGACCTCATCCACTGGTGTCAGCTCAGGCTCAAACTGGTACTCATATTCATCACTGCCACCCCAAATGGCCAGACACTGATCAGAATCCACAAAATCTTTTATAGATTTCTTATCAACAAATTTGATTTTCTCTATAGATTTTGGAGGCAGCCAAGTTTTGATAATCTTCCACATAGCTGAAAAAGAAAAGAGAAAGATTATACTGCCTCTCCTCACTTAACAACAGAGTTCCATTCCTAAGACCACGTCGGTAAATGAATTCATCACTAAGTGAGGAGCATACTTTAATGGTAGTGGGTTTGTGTCAACCATCTTTGATGTTTTTATGTCACCTTTGCACCATTTATATCATTTCTGGTATATTTTTAAATGTTTATACTGTAGTGTACTGTATACCGTAATGAACAGAATAGAGGAAATCAGTTCTAATATACATTATTTAGGTAAGTATACTGGTCAGAGAGCCTGTCGTAAGTCAGAGTCGTCAGTAAACGAATACGTCGCTAAGAGAGGAAAGGCTGTACAGTGGACCCCCAGATATCGGCCGGTTTAGTTATTGGCCAAATCAGTTATTGGCGGGTTTTTCAGTTCCCAGTTATCGGCCGTTTGCTTGGTTATCGGCTGTTTTGGATGCGTGCACCCGCCGGCTGGGGTAGCTTGCGCTTCAGTTTGGCTTCGTCTCTCGGTGGCTGAGGAAGCTTCTGCTCATACATCCAAACATTTCACTTCTTTACCATTGTTTTTAGTGGTTTTTCCTTGCAGTGCAACTGTGAAGTAAGTAAAGATGGCTCCAAAGAAAGTTCCTAGTAAAGTTCTTGTGGTAAAGGAAGTGAGAAACACCATGAAATTTAAGCGTGAAGCGAAAGAAAAGTTTGAGTGTGGTATGAAGGTAGTGGAACTTGCCAGGATGTACAGCAAGAATAAATCAACAATTACATCCATCCTGGCAAAGAAAGAACAAATCAAAGATGCTAATGTTGCAAAAGGAGTAGCTTTTCTAACTAAACAAAGGCCAACAAAAATGGAAGAGATGGAAAAGTTATTATTATTGTGGATTAAGGAAAAAGAATTAGTGGGAGACAGTGTTGTGGAGTCGATTACTTGTGAGAAAGCAAAGCAGTTGCATGAGGATCTTGCAAAGAAAATGCCTGGAACAAGTGCTGCAGTTTGTGAATTTAGGGCCAGCAAAGGATGGTTTGATAGATTTAAGAAGCATAGTGGCATACACGGTGTTTTAAGGCATGGTGAGGCTGCAAGTTCTGACAAATGTGCAGCTGAAAAGTATGCTCATGAATTCCAGGACAATGTAAAGGCTGAAGGATTCAAACCCCAATAAGTGTTCAATTGTGACGAAACAGGCCTGCTTTGGAAGAAAATGCCAAACATGACCTACATTACCCAGGAGGAAAAGGCACTGCCAGGACACAAGCCTATGAAAGACAGGCTTACTCTTTTGTTATGTGGTAATGCTAGTGGGGATTTCAAAGTGAAGCCTTTACTCGTGTATCACTCAGAAAACCCCAGTGTGTTCAAGAAAAACAATGTCATGAAGAATAGATTGTGTGTGATGTGGAAAGCTAATCATAAGACATGGGTCACAAGGCAAATTTTCAAAGAGTGGGTTAATGATGTGTTTGGCCCAAGTGTGAAAAAATACCTCCTGGCAAAGAAATTGCCACTCAAGTGCCTCCTGGTACTGGACAATGCTCCAGCACATCCTCCAGACTTGCAAGACCAAGTGTTTAGGGACTTCATTTTCATCACAGTGAAGTTCTTGCCTCCTAACACCACTCCTCTCCTCCAGCTCATGGACCAGCAGGTCATTTCTAACTTCAAAAAACTCTACACAAAAGCAGTGTTTCAAAAGTGCTTTGAAGTGACCTTGGACACTCAAGTTGACCCTAAGACAGTTCTGGAGGAATCACTTCACTATCCTCCATTGCATAAGCCTTATGGGCAAGGCTTGGGAGGGAGTGACTTCCAGGACTTTGAACTCTGCTTGGAGAAAACTGTGGCCAGATCGTGTCCAAGAGAGGGATTTTGAAGGGTTTGAGGCTGACCCTGACCATGCCGATCCTGTGGACTCTACTGTGGCACTGGGGAAGTCCCTAGGGTTGGAGATGAGTGGCAAGGATGTGGAAGAGTTGGTGGAGGACCACAGGGAATAGTTAAACACTGAAGAGCTGCAAGAGCTTCATCTCAAGCAGCAACAGACTGCAGCTGAGGAACTTGCTTCAGAGGAGGAAGAAAAGGGAGTGGAGGTGCCTTCTTCAGAGATTAAAGAGGTGTGTGCAATGTGGACTAGGGGTAAGCTTTTGTAGAGAAACATCACCCTGACAAAGCTGAAACAAGCCATATCTGCAACATGTTTAATGACAAAACCCTGTCCCACTTCAGGGAAATCTTAAAGAGATGCCAGACACAGAGCACTCTGGACAGTTATTTTGTGAGACAGGGGTCCAGTGACTCAAGATGGTCCTAGTGGCAATAAAAGACAGAAGGGAAGTAATCCCAAAGAAGGCTTTGCTACCTAAAGTCTTTATGGAGGGGGATTCCCCTTCCAAACACTAACTCCTCCCTCTTTCCTCCTCCCTATCTTCCAGAAGCCAGCATTAGCCTTCAATAAAGGTATGTAATACATAATTGCTAATTTTTTTTTTGTGTGTGTGTGCGGGAATATTTTTGTTTGGAACAGATTAATTGCATTTCTTATAAGAAATATTAATTCGGTTATCGGCCATTTCGGTCATCGGCCGACTTTCTGGAATGGATTACGGCCGATAATCGGGGGTCCACTGTACTAAGAACTGCTACTTTAGCCAACTGCTACTTTATTTTAAGTTATAGAATTTTTTTTTCTTTAAATTCTACAACTTAAAATAAGCTCCTAATTTAGTTAGTTACATTAGAATACAGTAAACACTCCATAAAATGAACTTTAGTAATACAGAACAAAATCCGCTGGTCAACTGATTTGGAAACAATGGATAAGTCCATTACTTGAAAAATTTTCTATTATGTTTATGTTTATGAGGATAGTGAGGCTCAGGTTAGGGTGTGCAGAAGAGAGGGAGACTACTTCCCAGTAAAAGTAGGTCTTAGACAGGGATGTGTAATATCACCATGGTTGTTTAATATATTTATAGATGGGGTGGTAAAGGAAGTAAATGCTAGGGTGTTCGGGAGAGGGGTGGGATTAAATTTTGGGGAATCAAATTCAAAATGGGAATTGACACAGTTACTTTTTGCTGATGATACTGTGCTTATGGGAGATTCTAAAGAAAAATTGCAAAGGTTAGTGGATGAGTTTGGGAATGTGTGTAAAGGTAGAAAGTTGAAAGTGAACATAGAAAAGAGTAAGGTGATGAGGGTGTCAAATGATTTAGATAAAGAAAAATTGGATATCAAATTGGGGAGGAGGAGTATGGAAGAAGTGAATCTTTTCAGATACTTGGGAGTTGACGTGTCGGCGGATGGATTTAGGAAGGATGAGGTTAATCATAGAATTGATGAGGGAAAAAAGGCGAGTGGTGCATTGAGGTATATGTGGAGTCAAAAAACATTGTCTATGGAGGCAAAGAAGGGAATGTATGAAAGTATAGTAGTACCAACACTCTTATATGGGTGTGAAGCTTGGGTGGTAAATGCAGCAGCGAGGAGATGGTTGGAGGCAGTGGAGATGTCCTGTTTAAGGGCAATGTATGGTGTAAATATTATGCAGAAAATACGGAGTGTGGAAATTAGGAAAAGGTGTGGAGTTAATAAAAGTATTAGTCAGAGGGCAGAAGAGGGGTTGTTGAGGTGGTTTGGTCATTTAGAGAGAATGGATCAAAGTAGAATGACATGGAAAGCATATAAATCTATAGGGGATGGAAGGCGGGGTAGGGGTCGTCCTCGAAAGGGTTGGAGAGAGGGGGTAAAGGAGGTTTAGTGGGCAAGGGGCTTGGACTTCCAGCAAGCGTGCGTGAGCGTGTTAGATAGGAGTGAATGGAGACGAATGGTACTTGGGACCTGACAATCTGTTGGAGTGTGAGCAGGGTAATATTTAGTGAAGGGATTCAGGGAAACCAGTTATTTTCATATAGTAGGACTTGAGTCCTGGAAATGGGAAGTACAATGCCTGCACTTTAAAGGAGGGGCTTGGGATATTGGCAGTTTGGAGGGATATGTTGTGTATCTTTATATGTGTATGCTTCTAAACTGTTGTATTCTGAGCACCTCTGCAAAAACAATGATAATGTGTGAGTGTGGTGAAAGTGTTGAATGATGATGAAAGTATTTTCTTTTTGGGGATTTTCTTTCTTTTTTGGGTCACCCTGCCTCGGTGGGAGACGGCCGACTTGTTGGGGGAAAAAAAAAAAAAAAAGTTTACAATCACAGGAAAACAATTTCTTTAACCGAGCTCAATGTCGTTAATCGAGACAATATTTTGACGTAAAAACATTACTTAATCTGATTATCACTTAATCCAATGATGTCTTAATCCAGGGGTCCACTGTACATACATACACAAATTTTATTTGATATCGAGGGGTTAGTCTATAATACATACGTACAGTGTACAACACATACAAATCTTCCTCAGAGAGTTACATGATATGCAACAAAAGCATTAGTACTAATGCTACCATCTACTTTTTTTTTTTTTTTATAATCAAGCCTTTATACCCCTTTGTCAAACACCTACATAACACCGAGTTAATTTTTAAAATTAAATATAAATGTACACTAACAGCTAACTGGATATAAGCCATTATCAATTCAATTCATTTAACCCTTTGACTGTTTCCGATGTATAAATACATCTTACGAGCCAATGTTTCTGACGTATTTATACGCATAAATTCTAGCAGCTTCAAATCAAGCAGGAGAAAGCTGGTAGGCACACATGTGAGAGAATGGGTCTCCATGGTCAGTGTGCACCATATAAAAAAATCGGGGAGCCAGTGGTGCATTGTGGGAATGCCATTTCAGTTGTCCTTTTTCAGCATGTCTAGCGGTAAGAAATATGTGATTCCCCAGCAAATCTGGGACTCTTCTCTTCCCAAGTGATGCTCTAACACAGATGGAAGTGTCAGTGAAGATCAATTTCATGATTTGGAGGAGTTTGAGACCAAAAGCAATGGAGGAGGAGGAGAAGGAGGAGAGGAGGAGAGGAGGAGGAGGGAGGGAGGGAGGGAGGAGGGAGAGGAGGAGAGGAGGGGAGAGGAGAGGGAGGGAGGGAGGAGGAGGAGAGGAGGAGGAGGAGGAGGAGGGAGAGGAGGGAGGAGAGAGGAGGGAGGGAGGAGGAGGAGGAGAGGAGGGAGAGGAGGGAGGAGGAGAGAGGAGGGAGGGAGAGGAGAGGAGGAGAGGGAGGAGGAGGGAGAGGAGGAGGAGGGAGAGGAGGAGAGGAGGAGGAGAGGAAGGGAGGGAGGGAGGGAGGGAGGGGAGGGAGGAGGGGAGGGAGGGAGGGAGGAGGGAGGGAGGGAGGGAGGGAGGGAGGGAAGGGAGGGAGGAGGAGGAGGAGGAGGAGGAGGAGGAGGAGGAGGAGGAGGAGGAGGAGGAGGAGATGTAATAATATTGTTCCCTTGAAGCAAGAAAAAAAAAAAGTCCACCCATGACAGTGACAAGACAAGGGAGATAACATCTAAGGCTGACTTGATGAGCGTAACGAGGTGGAGCTGATAAGGAATATAGATGACCATCGCCTCCCTTTGTTTTGCTGGTTACACAAACATTTCTGTCTGTCTATTTGTCTGTCTGTCAAGCTCCCTGTCTGTCCATCTAGCTCTCTGTCTCAGAGAGAGCCACAAGACTGTGTCATCACGTATACTCACATCTTCAAGCAGAATATAGCACTTTGTCTGGATTTCTTGGGTTATCCTAGGTAATTTACACTATGTATACTTGTATTTATGTGTACCTGTGAGACAGAGATAGGCAGACAGATAGAAAGAGAGACAGATTGAAAGATATAGAATGAGGGAGAAAGATAATTAGATAGAATGGAGGAGGAGAAGCAGCATCCGACCCCATTGTTTTGACAGGCGGGAGGGGGAGTGAGTAATGAGACAATATGTCACTTTGACAGCTGCCGACTTCTGACTCAAAACAATTATAAGCCACACACTCGCACACAAGACAAGGAGGAGGAGGAGGAGGAGGAGGAGGAGAAGGAGGAGGAGAAGGAGGAGAAGGAGGAGAAGGAGGAGAAGGAGGAGAAGGAGGAGAGAGGAGAAGGAGAAGGAGGAGGAGAGGAGGAGGAGGAGGAGGAGAAGGAGAAGGAGGAAGAGGAGAGGAGGAGGAGGAGGAGAAGGAGGAGGAGGAGAAGGAGGAGGAGGAGAAGGAGGAGGAGGAGAAGGAGGAGGAGGAGAGGAGGAGGAGGAGGGAGGGGAGAGGAGAGGAGGAGGAGGAGAGGAGGAGGAGGAGAGGAGGAGGAGGAGAAGAGAGGAAGGAGAGGAGGAGGAGGAGGAGGATGATTGTTTGTTTTTGTAAACAAGTTTTGTAAACAATATATTGATAATTATGTTTGTGTGCTTATTGTGTTGTATACAACGAGTGTATATATGTACATTGCACCTTACTTTGGTCTCATAGGCCACATAAGTTATGTGAAAAAATAAAATAGTGAAAAAAAACAAAAAACCTTCAAATACAAGTAAACTAAAGTTTACCGGGCGAGCGGCAGTCGACGCTGTTGCCATACGCAGCTCATTTTCTGCAAACTTCACGGCTCTATATCTCGGTAAGTACTGATGGCAATTTTTTTTTTTTGGACTAAAACACTCAGAAAAATAATCTTAACATTTTCATAAGAAAAATTAATTTTTTTTTTTTTTAATATTTGGTGACATAGAATGACAGTTTCAGAGAGGGGCCTGAAACAGTCAAAGGGTTAAAAAACTGGTTCTGAGTAATAAACCCATTAATAAGCTTACAATCACACCATATAAATGCACAAAGATAAAATATTTATCTCAACCACAGCTTACATTGTCAACTGCTAAACAGAAATATATTAATACTTATATCAAAATTGCACAATCTTACCACTTAGCAGCCAAGGCATTTCAAACACAATGATGTAGTTAAGGACCCATGGATAATAATTCTTAAACAAGTTTATCATATACTGGATAAACTCCATGTCCATGTTCTTCATCCCAGTTTCACACATGTCAAAGAACACTGTTATCCATTCTCCTTTTTCCTCTCTGCAAATAAAATTCAAATATTAAGTGGAAACCCAAGAACATTCATAATTACACACTGTGAATTTTTTTTACCTTCTGCTACACTCCAACGAGTGCACCTGGAACATTAAGTACAGTATGCATCAGAAATGTACAGTATAAAAAACCCAAATTTGGGATGAAGTAATAAATTTTATCACTATTTAAAACAGTACAGTGGAACTTCAATATTCCTGTCCCTATATTTATACAATTCGATATTCGCCCGACTTTTGAGAAAAATTAGAGTCTGTATTCAGACGGTGTCCTGATATTTGATGTAAACAAAACAGTCCGTCTGGATGAAACCCGATGAAACAAAGCATCACATGCTCTCTTTCATCAGTTTTTATTCATTAAAAATCATTCATACAAGCTATGAAAATTTTTGGTATTTCATTGTTGTTTTGTGGCGCTTTTGAAAATAAGAAATCATGGCCCCAAAAAATAGTAGTGATCCAAACAAGCCTAAAAGGAAAGCAGTAGAACAACAATTAAAGTGAAAAAAAAAAACAAAAAAAAAAAAAAACTCGCTGCAAAGTGGAACACTGTTAGACCTGGCCACTTAATATGGAATGGCAAAATTCACCATATCGTACATATTGAAAAAAAGGCAATAAAAGGGGCTGATGTGGTGAAAGGAGTAAAAATTCTTTGGAAAAACTTTTGTTAGTGTGGATTAGCAAAAAACAATTGGCCAATGACTGTCTTGAAAACAATTTGTGAAAAAAAAGCAATTATATAGCGATCTTAGGAAAGACACCCCAGGAAACAGTGCTGAAAGTGATGAATTTAAGGCAAGTAGGAGCTGGTTTGATAAGGTTAAAACGAGGAGTGGGATTCACAACGTATTAAGGCATGGGGAGGCTACCAGTGCTAACAGAGAAGAGGCTGAAAAGTTTGTTAAGGAATTTAAAACCTATATAGAAATTGAAGGATTTATTCTTCAAAAAGTTTTTAATTGTAATGAAACTGGCCTCCTTTGGAAAAGAATGCTTATTAGAACCTACATCGCAAAAAAAAGAAAAAATCATGACCAAGACAAGCCCATGAAAGACAAGCTAATACTTGTGTGGTAATGCTATTGGAGACTGCAAAATTAAACCATCACTAGTCTACCACTCTGAAAATCCAAGGGTGTTTAAGAAAAACAATGTGGAAAGTGTGAATGCACCTGGAGAAGAGAGGAGTGTAGAGGAGAGAGAGATTTTGGGAGATGTTAAGCAAGTGTGTAGGAACTTTTGATCCAAGTGAGAGAGTAATTGTGGTAGGGGACCTAAATGCTAAAGTAGGAGAAGCATTTAGAGAGGGTGTGGTAGGTAAGTTCGGGGTGCCAGGTGTAAATGATAATGGGGAGCATTTGACTGAACTTTGTGAAGAAAGGGGTTTAGTTACAGATAACATATTTAAGAAAATAAGATAAGATGTGTGGTGTGAATATAATGCAGAGAATTCGTAGTTTGGAAGTTAGGAGGAGGTGCGGGATTACCAAAACTGTTGTCCAGAGGGCTGAGGAAGGGTTGTTGAGGTGGTTCGGACATGTAGAGAGAATGGAGCGAAACAGAATGACTTCAAGAGTGTATCAGTCTGTAGTGGAAGGAAGGCGGGGTAGGGGTCGGCCTAGGAAGGGTTGGAGGGAGGGGGTAAAGGAGGTTTTGTGTGCGAGGGGCTTGGACTTCCAGCAGGCATGCTTGAGCGTGTTTGATAGGAGTGAATGGAGACAAATGGTTTTTAATACTTGACGTGCTGTTGGAGTGTGAGCAAAGTAACATTTATGAAGGGATTCAGGGAAACCGGCAGGCCGGACTTGAGTCCTGGAGATGGGAAGTACAGTGCCTGCACTCTGAAGGAGGGGTGTTAATGTTGCAGTTTAAAAACTGTAGTGTAAAGCACCCTTCTGGCAAGACAGTGATGGAGTGAATGATGGTGAAAGTTTTTCTTTTTCGGGCCACCCTGCCTTGGTGGGAATCGGCCGGTGTGATAATAAAAAAAAAAAAAAAAAAAGATAAATAAGTATACATGATATGATATAGGGCATAATGACAGTACATGTACTTTGTTGGACTACATATTGGTAAATAAGAGACTGTTGGGTTGACTTCAGGATGTACATGTTTATAGAAGGGCCACAGATATATCAGATCACTTTTTAGTTGTAGCTACAGCAAGAGTAAAAGGTAGATGGATACAAGGAAAATGGAAACAGCCAGTAACAGAGGTGAAGGTGTATAAACTAAAGGAGGAGGCAGTTAGGGTAAGATATAAACAACTGTTAGAGGACAGATGGGCTAGTTAGAGTACAGTAGAGCCCTGTTTTACGGTGTTCTGCTAATACGGAGATTTCAAGTTATGACCAAAACTTGCCATACAGCGAGCAGTCTTTCAAATGTGGCGCATGCCCCCTTGTTTGTTTACATTCTCCATGAGCACACATTTCTATTATGTAATAATAATCACTCTTGGACATATTAAATGTCTTTTACGTTAATATAGACATTTTCATCAATCTATGACATTTTTTTCAAAATTATATAAGAAACATGTTACATAGTATATAAACATTTTTGTTTATATACTATGGAGGTGTGGTAGCTGGGCAGAGGGAAAACATTAAGTCACTCCCCTCAATAAAAAACACTTTTGTTTACAATTCTCAGCATGAATTATTCATTACTTCTCCCTTTGTCGATGACAGCATCTAAAAGGTAGTTGATAGAACGATTAAACTCAGTGAACATGGTATGTCGATGGTAATAATATGGCTCTGGGCCACATTAAATATTGTGCAGCTATGTAGCCCAGGCAGACTACATACCTACATTATTATTATAACTCATTATACTTATGTGTACCTGTACCTAAATAAACTTACACACTGTGCTGGCATGCAGGTACACATTAAAATCACTAAGTTTGTTTTATTAGTCTTGAAGATGCCATAATAATAATGATAATAATAACAATAATAATCATATTGAGGTGCATTAAATATCGTACACAACGTTAATACACACATTTTGCTTAATCCATCTAAGTACACCCCACAGTACAATAAATTAACATAAATATGAGCTGTGGTAGCCAGGCAACTTGTAGTCCAACATCAGAGAAAATGTGTACACTATAATATTACTGGGAGTAGCTAGAAAATTATTATTTTCATATGCCTTCACTCAGGGCGTCATTTCTTCTAAAAATGATGTTACATGAGAATGGGAGTGTTTCTCTTTATTTATTCTACAGTATCAACGTGAAGACAACTTGTACATAGTGTAAAGTGACGAAAACCAGACGCGTTCATCTGGTTTGTTTACATTATGTGTGGGTGGGGTGGGGAGGGGAGGGCAAGTTAGCCCTTCCTGGCTACCCATATTTCCCAACCTAACTTCATAAAAATAAAACTCACCTCTCACCCTACATTAAGACTACAAATTATTTTTTTTGTTTTATTAGCACACTGGCCGATTCCCACCAAGGCAGGGTGGCCCGAAAAAGAAAAACTTTCACCATCATTCACTCCATCACTGTCTTGCCAGAAGGGTGCTTTACACTACAGTTTTTAAACTGCAACATTAACACCCCTCCTTCAGAGTGCAGGCACTGTACTTCCCATCTCCAGGACTCGAGTCCGGCCTGCCGGTTTCCCTGAATCCCTTCATAAATATTACTTTGCTCACACTCAAGTATTAAAAACTATTTGTCTCCATTCACTCCTATCAAACACGCTCACACATGTCCGCTGGAAGTCCAAGCCCCTCGCACACAAAACCTCCTTTACCCTCTCCCTCCAACCTTTCCTAGGCCGACCCCTACCCCGTCTTCCTTCCACTACAGACTGATACACTCTTGAAGTCATTCTGTTTCGCTCCATTCTCTCTACATGTCCGAACCACCTCAACAACCCTTCCTCAGCCCTCTGGACAACAGTTTTGGCAATCTCGCACCTCCTCCTAACTTCCAAACTACGAATTCTCTGCATTATATTCACACCACACATTGCCCTCAGACATGACATCTCCACTGCCTCCAGCCTTCTTGCTGCAACATTCATCACCCATGCTTCACACCCAAATAAGAGCATTGGTAAAACTATACTCTCATACATTCCCCTCTTTGCCTCCAAAGACAAAGTTCTTTGTCTCCACAGACTCCTAAGTGCACTGCTCACAAATATCTTATAATAATTAGCACTTTCAGGGTCCAGAGGCCAAATTTCAAAGTGTGCACCAGGGTCCAAGAATTTTCAAAAAATCATTTCATTATTTTTCTTATGAAATGGTAGAGAATCTTTTTCTGAAGGTAATAAAACAAAAAGTATGAAATTTAATGGAAAACTGACGAAATTATGCTCTCGCGAATTTTAATGTGTTGGCGATATTTACGCATCGGCGATTTTGCCGACTTTGACTCCCATTTTAGGCCAATTACAGTATTCCAGTCGACCAAATTCTTAGCTATTTCACTAGTATTACCTCTATTCTATCGATTGAGCACAAGAAATCGCCCATTCAACTGTTTCAACTACAAAATAGAGTGACCGGAAATTGGTAATTTGGCCAATTTAATGCAAAGTTCAAAATATTCCAATTTCAAAATAGGGTCCAGAATAAACAATGCAAGCATTCCTGGCACTAAACTAACATTTCCTCTGTTCATTAGTTATGTTTTCAGGCTTTACAAATAAATTCCATTTTGATTTTTTATTCATATAATGAATTTTTATTCAAGCCAAAAAACAGAAGATTCACTGTTATGCAATACTGTAATAATTGTATAAATAATATCACCACATTTGTGAAAATTTTTATTTTTAAACCCAAAACCCGGCTGCCCATTTTTTTTCCCTTGTAGGAAACCCCCCCTTGGCCTTTCCCCCAAATTTAAACTTTTTCCCCAAACCCAAAATTCAATTTCCCATTTCCATAAATTTAAAACCCTCAAAAACCCCATTTTCCCAATTTTCTTTTTTAAAAACTCCCTTC